TCTGGCACGTTTTGGCATTGGCAAGAGCAGCCTCCTGGACGGGCCAGCACTATATAAAATTGGCCCGCCCTGCAGGCTGCAGGTAGTTCATAGGGACTTCCCAGGCACTTCACGTGCAGTTCAGGAGGCAGGAGGTAGTCTTCAGGATTCGGCAGCAGTACTCTGGAGGAGCGCTGCAGTAGTAGTAGTAGCGTTAGCAGTAGTCTTCAGCGCTGGGCGCTAGTAGGAGCTAGAATAGTACTGGAGAGAGAGAGAGATCGGGGGGAGGCCAGGGAGACTTACCTGCAGCTACACAGGAAGAATGCGCCATTGATTGGGCTAGTCATTGGTATTCTAGCCTTCTGCTGCGCTGTCTTGTACTACGTGAGAGAGGTCAGTCCCCGTCAGGTCAGGGCGTATATCTAAGTCTTCCCCTGCACTATTATATGCCATTTTTGTATGTATCAGGATGTACACTGCTTGTTGAGATTCCACTAGTTTGTCCATTCCGTCCTTTTTATCACATTGCGGATCCTTGGCTTTATATACATTGCCCAACTGGGCATGCAACACCAGCTGAAGGGGTGCCGTAACCTGCAGGCGAATCTGGACGACCTCCTCCTGTCTATCCTCCACCATTGCTCACGCTTCTTGCAGAAGAACCCGACTGGGCAGCAGGAGAACAGGCAACCTGGGACTGGGAAGATTTCCCCCTTCTCAGTGGCCCTGTCGTTTATCAAAAGGGTGGGCGGAGTGGGGACTGATGGGGCTAAATGACATACAAGATGTGGGCCAAACAACCAGTGGTGTCAGTAAAACCAGCCGAGTCCAGGCAGCAGTGAAGCTCACCTGCCGCAGGAAAATCAGAGTCGTGGAGGATGACGATTAAAGGATTTTCGAGCCCGGAACGCCGACCCAGGAGGTCAAGTTTGACCCGGCAGAGTGGGCATGGAAGCTCCCAACCATGCCGGCAGGATAGAGTGCGGGATCAGCATACTGGACTACATGACAAGGCTAGGCTATAGACTGAGACGTAGGTCCGCAAACACTTGGGGCACACTGGCGCAGCAATGGGAGAGGAACGTGCCAGGGCTCTGGACTGGCTGACCAGGCAGGATACCCTGGAGTGTGGTCCCAACAATCCGCAATACCAGGGTTAGAAGCATCCAATAGCTAATAATATATTGAGCACTCCCAGTTAACAAGTGGCTGAGCAGGCATAGGGCGCAGGGCAACGGACAGGCCTTCAATGACCTCTGCTCGATCTGTGAGAGTGGGGTGGAAGAAGACATCGCCCACTGCATGTTGCTCTGCCCAAAGGCACAGCAGCTGTGGTGCTATGCCAGGGAGCTCTGGCTCAAAGCCCCTGGCAGCGAGCTAGCAGAGGACACCCTGACCCTGCTCACAGGGTTCCTGCAACCCAATGCTCTAGACAAATGGGCGCAGAAGTTTTATAGAAGTCTCGGGCCCTTTACACTCTGCGAGGTCTGGAAAAGAAGATGCAAGGAAACCATTGACGCACACGAGGTGCCTCCTGAGAAGGCCTGGGGGAACTTCAAGCAGGTGCTGGACACGGAATAGCAAGCGGACCTGCAGAAAACAAGGAAGCAAATCAAGCAAGAACCAGAGAAGAAGCAAAACATTCTTGACAAATTCGTGAAGGACTCCGTGGGAAAGTGGAAATTGGGGCAGATGGAAGGAAACCGGCTCAAGTGCATATGGAGGCGGGTAGCCGCTGATGCCAGCATCACATCAGACTGAGCGCTTCGATGGACAAGGTCACAGGACAACACGGCACACTACGGCAACCAGCGGCTAGGAACCTAATTGTCCCAGGGAAGCCAGGCGAGTGTCTGGGTTCAGTCGTTCGACTTCTGATTAGAGAGCTTTTGACAGCCTGGACACTTCAGTTCCCCGGGGTATCCTGGGGGGACAGCACTGTGTGGCGCTGAGTCCGACACCCGTAGATAGGAGTCTAGGAGTACTCTGCTGAGGCTAATGTAGGCAGGGGTGAGGAGTGGTGCATCCTTCCCACGGGAAGTAATCAATGCCATCCACTTGGCCGTCCCGACCATAATGGGGAGGAGCGTTGGGTGTGTGAACCATGTATCCCTCTGACATGCCGGTGGAATAGGAACAGGACTGACGATCCCCAGAATGGATATCGAGCCAGGGCCGTAAGACTGTTTTTCGTTAAAAAAAAAAAAAAAAAAAAGGGCCAAGAATGTTACTGCCACAGGACTCAAGATGGGGGACCTGGCTGGAGCCTTGGGTTTGGCAAACTAAGCACCTATGGTCTGAGGAGCATAACAGGTGGAAGACTGCCCTAGAATTGAGGGGGATCCTACAGGGATGCCATAACCTGCTGGAAAGTCTAAATGAACTTTAATGATGGCTTGATATTTCAGTCTCCCCTAAATGGACCAAGCTGATACAAGAAAGGATTGTCCTGGAAATTTGGCGACTGGGAAACCTGGAAGCACGACCAGACTCCGACAAAAATAGCAGTCAATCTTAGAAAGAGCGAATTACAAGGAGATGGGTGGGCGGTAATGGACATTTTCAACATAGAAGAGCCAGGAGCTACTACAAGTGGGGTGTCTAAGGTATCGCACCCCCATGTATCGGTCGGTACAGAGGCAACAAGGAAGCTTAAGGGTCATAGAGAACAATGACTTCACCATTAATTGCCCGACAAAGGCCACCGCTACCTGTAGTATAGATGACTCGGAGGTAGATCCAGTGAAATGGGCTTGGAACCTGCAAAGGGGGCGTTTTAATTTAGCCCCAGTGTTGCACCCCCTGACGGTCAGCGGCCCTTGACTGGTCGGCTGCCGACCCGCCGACCGATCGGCTGGTCGGCACCTACCGGTCGGGGGTCGTCGGCACCTCGCGAAATAAATAAATAAATAACAAAATAAAATAAAATAAAATTGTCCAGAACCCCTAATAACACCACCAACACCCCCATAGTGGCCCCCAATACCCCCATACAGCCCCCCAACMCCCCCAACCCCCCCAAACCGCCCCAAACACTCTCATTACCCCCCCCAATACCCCCTATATCATTCCTATACCCCCCTATACCCCCCTATACCCCCCCTATACTCCAGCCCCAACCCCCCCATTCCCAAAGGTTTCTCAGCGGATTTGGGCTGTACTCAGCAAGTGCAATACAGCCCCCAACTCAGATTTGAAAAAAAAACAGTGGATGGTTGTTTTCTGACTGGTCGGCAGACCGCCGACTGGTCGGCCCTACTGGTCAGCCCTACTGGTCGGCTGCAATACAGTCGGCGGTCGGGGTCGGCGGCCGGCAGGGATGCAACCCTGTTTAGCCCTAAAGAAAAAGGCACCCTACTGGACTGTACAACTAGAACAGGGTTTTAGCTCAGATTGAGGTCAGAGGTTCGTCATGGGTTTCAGATCCGGGCTACGGGGAGTCTGCTCTGGCCTGTGCGAATGCTTGGCCGAGATTCGGTTTGTCGGTAGGACTGATAGTGATATAGATTGTGCCTGACGTCCGTAGTCCTCGGGTAACAAGGTTTCTGCGTTCTGGCTTCCACTGGGGCTGGGTGGGGTAGCTGTCTAACCCAGGTGCCTATAACTACTGCTCGGTCCATGTAACCCTCTGAGGGGTAGGGTGATTGTCCTGAGTGCTTGTACCACTGAGGTAGGATAGTGGGTGTAGGGTTTTAGGAGAATTGATGTGAGGACGGGTAGGGTGGCAGTCCTACCGTCGCGCGAGCGCGTCTGGACACCCACTAGCTGATTGAGCTGGATAGTACCAGGAAGGTGACCCCTCCTGTGTCAGAATAGGTGGGAGCCATGAGGCCACACCTGGCCAGCGTGTGGTCTGTGAGTGGCGCAAGTGGAATACCACCGACTCAGGACATACCTCCCCCGGGAACTTCCAATTCGGTGGCCGGAATCGCACTGGGTTGGTTGCCTACTGGGAAGCTTCCGATCCAGCGCTCCTATGACAGTACCCACCTGGGTCGATACCCGGCCTCTACAACAACCTGGGCTTTATATGTACTAGCTTAGCGCCTGCGGTGCGGGCGGTGCAGCCTACGCCCGCAACCAAAAAGCGGGAAAGGACATGCCCAGCGGGAAACGACACGCCCACCGGGAAACAAAAAGAAAAGAAAAAACGAAACGACACACCCACCGACACATCCACCGGGAAACAAAAAGAAAAAAAAAAACAAAAAGCGGGAAAAAAAAGAAAAAAAAAAGATGAACGACACGCCGACCACGAAACAAAAAGAAAAGCAAAAACGAAAAGCAGGAAACGACAGGCCAAAAACGAGAATTCTAAAAGAAAAAAGGCCGCCCGCTTATCGATGGCAGCGGCTTCAAGATATTCCCTCACACCTACGCCCGCCGCCGCCCGGCCCCGTGGGCGCGCTCGCTCGTTTAATGGCGCACTGTGAACATTTTGGTACATGCGCCCCTCTGCACACTCCCCCGCCCTGGATCGCCTTCATCTGCCGGCCCTCCTCAAAACTTCGACCCCAAATCCGGCGCGCAGCGGACCATCGACCTCCCCCCCGCGGCCAATGCTGCTTAAGGGCTACCGAGGTTTCCTTGGTTCCAAATCTAGGTTGGGGCAGTAAGAAATATGCAGTGGCTCACTGTTCATCTGTCACTGCCAGTAAAAGATTGGCTAAATCAATGCTTTTGTCTCAGGGTGCATCGACGATGATCGGCCATTATGGAAGGAAGCGTTTTGATTGGGTAATTCTTTGTAAGGAAAGCTGGGCCCCGTTTCTAGTGATTGATGAAATGCTCCTGTTTCTTTTTGTTCTGAAAAAAAAAAAAAAAAAAAACTACCAGAAAGAGAGGACATTAACGTAAAAGCTGAAAGCTCACCCCAACTAGAAGTCTAGAAGTCAATTGACGGATGGCATAATTTTTTACAACGGAAATCATTCAGATATCACTGTGAACTTTGCAAGGGAAGGATTATGAACCTGGAAAGATTCTGTAGTGAAATTGCCATCACAAGATTCACAACATACCTTGCGATCTCGGACTGGCTGCAAATGAAACATGTTCCAAAATGGCTTTCCTGTAAACACAGTTGGAGTCACACACACAGGAAAAGAACAGGCATGGGCATTCAAAGGGCAAGATGTAAACATCAATAATTCAATTATAATTGTTTGTTTGTTTGTTTGTTTGTTTGTTTGTTTGTTTGTTTGTTTGTTTGTTGGTTTTGTGTGGGGGGGAATCAACCAGCAATCATGAGTGGTGCGCAGTCCACGACAACTGGGATGATAAAGGTGCATAAGTAAACACACTCAAGTCAAACTGTCAAATGTGATTAGCTGCACCGTCAGCAAGATGTGTTGGATGGCCGGATAAAATAAGTCAGAACTTGTCCTTCGGGACATCTGTTAAAATTGGAACGATACAGAGAAGATTAGCATGGCCCCTGTGCAAGGATGACACACATAAATTGAGAAATGGTCCAAATTTTTGCTCTCACACCATACCCGGGTTTGGACCATAAACCCATCAAACTAATAATCAGCTTCGAACAGTATGTCAAAAAGGGGTCCAACTTTCACAAACTCAATAACTCCCTCCTACTGAGCCGGAATTTCCAATTAGGAGTTCAGGATTGCTGGCAGAATTTAAAGGGCACCTACCTACCTATACAGGATCAATGGGAGTGGTTTCAGGAAAGATACTCCACATTATCACAGACGGTAGCCAAAATATCAAGGAAATAGCGGCCGACAGGAAACAGAGGAAGCAAGCAATGGAGACAACCCTGATGATCGCAGAGACAAATCCGATCGATAACCCCTCTTCGACACTCTACAGAGACATCTTTGAAAAGGCAAGAGAAGAACTCATTATGTGGAGATGGTGGGAACTAAAGGGACTACAAATAAGAGCCAAAATGAACGATTATGAGCTAAGCGAGTCAATGTCAAAACACTTCTTCACAAGAATCAACGCAAACTCAAGGGCCAGTGCGATAGAAGGCCTGAAAACCCTCCCAAATCCAAATGAAACAGTGATAGATAGCGCAAGAATGTTGAATGTAGCAAAGGAATTCTACGAAGAGCTCTACCACACGAAGACCCCTATGCCTACTCCGCCCAGCACCAGAGAGGCATGGACTAGGATACTGCAATACCTGGAACAAACGATATCTAAAGAACAAGCAAAAGAACTTGACAAGCCCATCACCCTGGAAGAACTGCAATTTGCTGTCCAAAATATGAACAACAATAAGTCTCCAGGAATCGATGGGCTGACAAAAGAATTATGGGAAAAGTTATGGCCGCTCTTAGGAGGAGATCTGCTTAACTTCTACAACGACAACTGGCTCAAGGGGGGACTGGGAAACCACGGAGTAGCAGTGTGGTAACCTTGTTGTAACAAAAAAGGAGAGAGAAACGATATCAGGAACTATAGATCCATCTCGCTTCTAACACTTCCATATAAGATCCTTGCCAAAGATCTTGCCTTTCGGATCCTAGACTTGACAAACAAGTCTTTTTCATATAGATCAAACAGGTTTCATCCTTGGGAGATACATCCTGGATAACGTATTGACTCTCAACGAAGCAGCCAACAAAGTCAAAGAAAAAAGTATAAACACAACAATTCTCTTTTTCGATTTTGGAAAGGCCTATGACCAAGTCAACTGGGACTTTCTCAATGCAAGCATGGAAAAGATGGGAGTGGACCCCAATTTTAGGAAGTGGGTGCGCATTCTGTATAATGACGCCATAGGGTGCGTCCAAGTTAGCGGCTTGCTCTCTGACTGCTACCCAATCTCTCGGTCAGTGCGCCAAGGGGACCCGCTAGCTCCCTCAATCTTCCTCTTCGTTATGGAAGCAATAGCCTCATTATTACGCAAAGACCCCTCCATACACAGACTACCAGAGGTCAATGTAGGATCAACCCACCACATACAGTTCCCAATAGTAATAATGTTTGCAGACGATCTCACGGTCCTCATAAGAGCTTCAGACTCATTGTTCACCGCGTTAGTAAGAGCAATGGAAGCGTTCAGACTGGCATAAAAAATGAAGATTAATTGGAAGAAAACAATCAACTGGTGGTTATCGGAGGACGAGGTTCCACAATGTCAAGGCCCTGAGGCAGACATGACATGGGAGACACCGGAGACACCTACGCGATATCTAGGCATCTTGCCGACAAAGGATGGCCTCGCCCCTCAAATGGCCCAAAATATACTCACCAAAAAACAAATTAACAAACTGGACAGACGAGGTAATACATTCACATCATTGTTGGGGCGTGCACTAGCCATAAATGCATCTATTTTCTCTATGATGTGGTACATAGCTCGATCTGGACCGTTCCGGACCAGACAATCAAGGAACTTAACCGTAAAGCAATAACATACTTATGGTCAGGTGACCCAAACAAAGAGAACTTTATGCCAAAGATAGCTTAGCAGTACATCACAAGGAAACCAACCAAAGGAGGTCTTGGTATCATAGACCTCAAACAGGAAACCAAAGCCTTACAAGTCAAATGGATACTCAAACTACTGACTAAACCTGGTACGACATGGAATAAACTGGCCTTAGATAGCATTAGGGCCCTAGCACCTACAGCCACACCATGACCAAGGAATGGAGTCCAAAGATAAGGCACAAAAATCAACGAAGAGGAACCGAGCCAAATGAATCCAGAACCCCTACACCATATTGGACTGCATTGTTACGGATATGGCGGGAAGTCATGCCAAGGAAAGTGTGTAGACCCAAATCCAAAGAAGAGGTACTGAGGCAACCCTTGTTTGGTAATATGTGGCTGAGAGATGAAAGTGATCACCAACTATCCCTTAAGCCTAGAGGAAGGAGATGGTTATCATGGATCAAACATGGAGTTTGGAAAGTGAGCCATCTGTGGAACGAGGAGAAAAAGGATTGGATGACAGACCAGGAACTTGCCTCCCAGCTCAAAGGATGTCACCAACGGGATGACAACTTACAATCTATTATCAACTGCATCCCAGAAGGCTGGAAGGAGTTGTTAAGCGAAGTCTCAACTTGGAAATCGGGTGGATGGGGAGTGAGGGTGCAAGATTTAACCCCCACAAGCGCCTATCAATTCTCCCATAAACCACAAGGGTCAAATGGCAGTGTTTACCTCCTTCCCAATTACCCCCTCAACGCAAGGCCTTCCATCCATCACGAATAAGGCAGTGGAAAGAAAAGTCCTAAATCCATTGATACTCGGAAAGGTCAAAGTGTTGGGTTCATGGCCGAAAACAATCTTCAGAATAGATACGGCGATTCAAGACTTGGAATTTGATCCAGCAAAGTGGGTTTGGACACCAAACCGAAGCAGAGGCCGCAAAGCTAATGTTTCCATTCAGGAATACACAGTCAAGCTGGGTTACAACTTACTCCTCAAAACAAAGGATCATGAACCAACGATCAAGAATGGATGGAAGAAGCTACTAGGTCAAGACGCTAGTCAGATCCCACAAGTCAATCCGTCCGGTCAAATTCAGAAGCCTACAATGGCTTATCTCATATGTAGCTCTGCCGGTCAACCAGTGGTTGCATATCAGAAGAAGCAAGAATGACCCTAACAGTTCAGATTTATGCGCGGTATGTTCAGAAGATGAACCATAAGATATACTACATTGCCTGATACGCTGTAGAGAGGCGACCGAATACTAGGCGAGGGCCTCAGATCTCTTGGATTCCCTCCTCGTTTCCCCTCCCTGAACATCCCATCCAACTCCTTCTATGGACTAACATCCCAACTCAATTCCACAAGACAGAGAAAACATGGTTTGGAATTATCAGAAGGGTAACGCTGTGATCCATCTGGAAGGAAAGGTGTTGTAGAACCATTGAGGGACTCTCAACTCCAAGGGAGAAGGTATGGGAGGAGACAGACATTGATTCGGGCGGAGACCATTAAGTGGCACAAGACGAGACAATCCATGCCAGATGACGAAGAGCAACAGAGAAGAATAAAGGCAAAATTCACTAAGGTGTGGCTTGCAAGGGGCAAAGTGGCAGAGATAAATGACTCCCACATACGATGGAAAGACTGGCACAACTCAGAAGCAGGGAGGAGAAGGCAGAGATCCCAACCAGCAGAAGGACAACATCCATCACAGGTCACATAATATCGGAGGGTGAATCCCGACACTGCAACTTCCGTAGGTTCTCTTACCTTTCTTGCTCTTCATTATTTATCTGACAGGCTCATGTAGTGGACCTGAGAGGAAAGGTTTAAGTAAGGAAAGCTGACAGTCAATCCTCCACGATGCGGGAGTAATCAATGCTGGTTAGGGTTCCTTCGGCCGGACGGAAGGAAGCGTGAGTGTGTGTTATGATGTAATTTTTTTTTTTTACCTTGCCGGTGGAATAGGAACCGGACTGATGCTCCCCAGAATGGAAATGGAGCTAGGGCCATAAGGACCTGTTTAATGGCATGACAAGACCAACCTTTACCGAATCCGGGTGTTGCAGTGCCACAAGGAGGGGAGACCCAATGGCAAGCATACCGACCGAAACCCCCCCTGTCCTGCTTAGCCCTGGACCCTCTTGAATGGCAATGGGAGAGGGGTCGGCAAGGGCAACCAGTGCAACTCACTGAGCTGTCAGTAAGGACCATTTATAGGATAATTAGACCCAGAGTGGATGTACGGGCAGCGATAGGGGACAAATTGAAGAGACACTTAAACCTAGGTGACAATCAGATTAGAGGCCGACAATTGTTCAGGGGCAAGAAAGCGAGACCAGCGAAGTTCGCCTCCCTGCAATGGCAAATCAGCCACAAATGCCTCCCCACAAATAACTGGAACATTGACAGAACGAACCTGGAACAAAGGGGGAAGGCTCTCCCATGGTGCAAATCCTGTTATGCAGGATTCCCGAACCGACGCATATGTGAGATAATAGAACACATCTTCCGCCAATGCCCGGGGTCTGTACTAATGTGGCGATGGTGGGACCGCATCTGGTCACAGCTAGGAACCGAAGCCGTGGAGTTGGGAGTCAATCTTGTTAGGTGAGTGGCATAGACCACAAGCATCCCACTATGCCAAGAACCTTTTTTCTACTGCCAGAAAGGCGGTGGTGTGGCCACTTTGG